GGTATGCAGGAGGCAGCCAATCAATGACTCTCTCATCACTGATGTTTCTCTCTCTCTGAAATCAATAAAAACATCTTTAAAAAACAAAACAAAACAAAACTACAATGAGCCCTGACCAGGTGGCTCAGTTGGTTGGAACATTATCCCATACATCGAAAGGTTGTGCGTTTGATTCTTGGTCAGGGCACATACCTAGGTTTGGGGTTTGATCCCCGAATGGGGCGCATACAGGAGGCAACCAATAGATGTTTCTCTTGCACATCAATGTCTGTCTGTCTCTCTCGCCTCTTCCTCTCTAAAATCAATAAAAGAAAATATCGTTGGGTAAAGATGAAAAACAAAAACATCTACAATGTGATGCCACCTTACACCCATTAGGGTGGCTATTATCAAGAACACAGAAAGTAACAAGTGTTGCCAAGGATGTAGAGAAAATGGAACCATTACGAATTACTGGTGAGAATATAAAATGGTGCAGCTGTTGTGGAAAAGTCTAGTGGTGCCTCAGAAAGTTAAACACAGAATTACCACATGACCCAGCAATTCCATCTCTAAATGGAATTGAAAAAGAACAGAAAGCAGGGGCTCAAACGTAAGTATACCATGTTCACAGCAGCTTTATTCACAATAGCCAAAAGGTACAAACCACCCAAATGTCCATCTACAGAGGAATGGATAAATAAAATGTGGTATATACATACAATGGAGTATTATTTAGTCTTAGAAAGGAATGAAATTATTACATGCTATAACACAGATAAATCTTGGCAACATGCTAAGTAAATTGAGGCAGACACAAAAGAACAAATATTATATGATTCCACTCATATGAATACCTAGAATAAGCAAATTCATAGAGACAGAAAGTAAATAGAGGTTACCAGGAGCGAGGGGCAGGGAGGCAATTGGGAGTTATTGTTCAGTGGGTACAGAGGAGCTTCTTGTTGAGATGATGAAAAAGTTCTGGAAATAGATAGTGGTGATAGTTGCAGAACACTGTGAAAGTACTTAATGCCAGTGAGCTATACACCTAGAAATATTCAAAACTGAACTTCAGGCTATTTATATTTTAGCACAATAAAAAATATACAGAAAATTAAATTATGCTCTGTATACTGCACTTACTATTTCAGGACAGTTTAGACATATTTTCGAAGATATATTGAGATAAAATAAAGCAGGTTTGTTAATTACAGTGTTTAGCAAAGATATGTTGTTTTATTAAAATTCACTGCTATAGATATAAAATCTGCTATTAACTCAGTCTCAACCTCTTGTTCTTTATATTCAGTTTTCCAAATTTAACTCAAGTCAACAAATATTTATAAAAAGAATTTTGGTTGAAAATGACAATTTTCAAGGCTGATTTTTAAGGCCTTAACCCTAATACTTAATGTTCCAAAAGAAGCAAAAGACAACAATGTATTTGTTGAATTTTACTTAAAATCTGTAAAAACGACCAACATTTTCCACCTTCAAAACAAATACTAGTTATATATTTCTAGATTTCTCTGTCAGACTAAACAGTACAAAACCACTATAAATACATTCTGAGAACTATTTCCATTCAATTGGACACTGCCTAGTTACTTGGGATGAAAAAGTTAAACCTTTAACATAATTTTCTTACTGGCCGAAATGAATGCTAGAGCTCCTATTGTCAGAGATGTTACAGAAAAAGGGCTAGACATGGATATAAAATGCAACGCTAAAGACAGTGGCATATAATACTTTTTATATTAACTGTTATGCCCTCAAATATTTCATTCAATTGCCTTTGCTGGGAATTTCAGTCAGTTCATGTGTAAATATGACAATCACCAGAGGTTGCAATAGAGGAATTGGTTGCCCAGCTAATGATACTGATAACCCTAACCAGAAGCAAGTAAAATGTGTAAGCTAAGTTCATCATCTTTAAAACACAAGTATCACATCATAATTTCAGCAGTACCCAATGGTAAAATATTTTCAGTTTAAACTGTAAAAGTTGTTTATTTCCAAAGAATTCAAATATACACAAGAATATTCAAAACTAAATTCCTAAAGTAGGAAGAAATGAAAATATCCAAATAGCCACCAGAATAATTCATTAAGCATATTAAAGTATACCTACCAAATAAAATACTATGTAGCCATTAAAAAGAATGAGGTAGATCTATAGTAACTGATATGGAAAGATGTCCAAGATTTCTCAAGTGAAAAGCAAAAAAAGCAAGTTGCCCGCAAATAAGATACCATATTAATAAATAGCTATAAAAATTTAAAAACCTAGATGCATATGCACTAAAACATAAAGGGAGATGTCCACTTTTCATCATTTCGTACACTAGAGAAAATTTTTAAAAAATAACTCATTACCTTTATGAAAAAAAAAACCCAAACCACACACAAATATCATCACAATACTGTAAACCCTCGATTTTTCAGACCTTGATTTAATGGACAAAATTTCCGTCTTTATGTCATATGTGAAAATTAACACCCTATTAATTTTAAAATGCTTTTAACCAAGATTTGCTTATAACTAAATTAACAGGTGTTTCTTTTGTTATTAATTCAGGTATTTTTAACAAATTTGATCAAACAGGGCATATGTTGAAAAAGCACTAGTAATTTCACTAACATAAATATTACCTATCTACAACTATAGTCTACATATTTAATGATGTTCGGGAAGTGATTAACACTGATCCCATCACTTCAAGGTTAGTAGTGGTTCTGTTGTAGAGTGGCCTGAGTTTGAATGCGTGCAGGCCTGAGCCCCGTCTCAGCCATGTGCATTTGTTTACTCTCAGTGACTGGTGAATGCATGCCATTTACTAGGCCTATTCAGTATAAATTTTAAATTATGGCAATACCTATAGAAAACTTTCCTGTTAAATTAGACTTTTTATACATACTTATTTTTAATTACACAAACATGTCTGTGTAAGTAAAAACAGGTAAACCAACTAATTTATCAATTTTTTAAACATTCAGAAAACCTTTATTATATGACAGACTTCTGGTTTTAACAGACACTCCCTTGACCAAATTAGTCCATTATATTAAGGTTTTACTGTATTAGAGGTAAACAAAATGTGAAAAATTTGATCACAATACTGCCACTCCAATTCAGAGAGCTGCATTGTCTTCAAGTAAAAATTCACAAATAGTGCAATAGTAATTTTTCACTCTAATTTAAAAAAATCATAACAGATTTACCATGATTTACAAGTCTTCAATTTACTTTAAAAGTATATTAATATTATTATGTCTTAATGTCTACTGTAAAACTGCTTTCCCAAAGTACATTCCAACCTATCTTACTGCTTATTTTTCAAAGGAAAATAAAATAGTAGTGTCTTCACATGTTAGGGCCATTACTTATAAACAATTTATAGTACAATTACATCAAATATCATTGAGTATGCAATAAAGCTTAACTTCCAAGTTTCTGACCATAAACACTACTCTCATTCATCCCAAACATCTCCATTATTTATTTCAGTTATTTATTAAGTACATCTTATGTACTAGGCTCCTTGCAAAACACTTGATAGTTTGTGCTCATAATCATAAGCAACAGTGCTTTTACTATGCACGAGAAAGGTTTTTAAAACAACAAAAAAAAGTATTTTATAAAGGTAAAGCTTTTTCACTCGTTATGCTTCAGTGTGAAAAAGAATACTCCTAACATTACGGGGATGGGTGGTTAGGCATCGGTTAAAATAAAGAAATTGTACAATTTCTTGAAACATCTATCATTTAATTGCTTTAAATACTGTCAAACACTCATATTCATATAATAACTAGAACTGTCTATGGCACCAAACTGCTGCATCAGTTTGGGCAACAGAAAACAATTTGTTTTGGAAACTCAGGATGGCAAGCTGGGCTCAAAGGAATTTAAGTGGGCAGGTTGGAAAGATAATGCAGTAAAACTAAGGACAAAATGTGCAGAACTTCATTTGTTACTTTGATTACCTATTTTTATCTAGAGGACACATCTATGTAGGGGGCACAAAGTAACAGAAAAAAAATGAAGGAAATTTCTGGAAAACAAAGGGCACAAAGGGTAACTGATCATCATGAATTTAAGGGCCCTTTACAAATTTCGAGAATTAAAATGTTCAACTTAAACAAACAAACCTGTTCAAGAATGCTCAATATCAAAATGAACCCTAATATAACTATGGAGTTCTGGTGAAAATGGTATGTCAATGCCGGTTCATCAATTGTAACAAATGTACCACTCTGGAGCAGGATGTTGATAATGGCGGAGGCTGTGTACATGTTGGGGCAGGGAGTATATGGGAACTCTATTTTCTGTTGAATCTTGCTGTAAACCTAAAACTGCTCTAAAATATAGTCTATTTTTTAAAAAAACTTTCAACTTGAAATTTAATGGTTTTTTAAAAAGTAATTCTGTCATCTTTAAAACTATAATTTTATCAATATAAGAAGAAAAAATGCCAATATTTTAATTTTGTTACATAAAATCAAGAATTATGATGTACTGAGCTAAGTGTCAGATAACAAGTTTTGGTCCCAGCTTAAACAGTTACATCTCCTCCTCCATACAATGGAACACTGAATTTGACAATCTGTGTCTTCTATCTCTTAATTTCATGTTTTCATTCCCACAACCTTTGAAGTGCAAACAAATTGTCACCAGAACACTGTGCCAAGACACCATACTGAGAAATAAGCAGAGCCCAGACTTATCAAAATGCTCTAGGGTAAATGAGATCACTTGAAAAGTTTTTCAAATGCTTTAAAGGGATGCTTTAAGTTTAAACCAACACATTTCCCCAGTAAAACAAAATATCTTATGCCCCTGTATGAAACTGCACCCAAGGCCTGAAAATTTCTAAGCATTCAAGGCCCAAGCACATTAAAGAGCCAAAACACTCCTAACACTTCAAGTCTAAAGAATGTTCCAGCAGAACACCATTTCAACTCTATGAGAATCAGGATACAAGCCGCTCTGACCTACAGCCCGAGGAGCAGGGGAAAAGAACATTTCTCAACCCTGTAATGAACGTTCACTTTGGCTGTTCCTAAGACATCTTCAATTTATGAAGACTACATAAAATTAAAGCAAACGTTTTAAAGATGGAAAATGTAAAATGTCATCAATTCATAAAAGCAAAGATCACTTAGCACTTCCCATCGCTCCCTCCTTCAAAAAAAAAAACACCCAAAACGCACAAAGGAAATAATCGTTGAGAAAATGCTCAATTTAGCACATACATTAGCTTTAATTTGCATTTATTTTTTCATTTTGGTGTTCAGTGGCCACAACTCCGTCATAGGGAAGCCCAGGAATTGTAAGGATGCCACCTAAGTTTATTGCTAATCTTTTATGTTTGCAGCCCATCCAATCTGATGCACAACCTGGGTTTTCCAAACCAACCAACCTAGTAGCCATCTAGAATGACTTCTTCCCATCTCCACCTTGTCAAAAGTACCTTCTCTTTTGGATGCTCTCAAAACCTCAAATCTCTATCAGATACCATGTCTTATTCTATTATTTATGTATCTCGTTTATCTCACTTACTAGAACAGTAACTTTCATGCCAAGCGCTCGCCTGGCCATCTTTCTTTTTGAAGGTTGAAGGTAAGTAATGATCTCCTTTTACAGAAGAAACTGAGGCTCAGAGAAAAACAACTTGGCCCACGTCACCCAATTCCCGAGGGGCCCAAACCGACATTCCGGTCAACATTCCAAGTGGACTGCAAAGTCAACTATTTTCAGGCCATTCATTCCTTCACGGGGCCTCCTAGGTGCCAGGCAGTGCTGGGCGCTGCGGCCACCAACACAAACGCTGCGATTCTGGTTTTCAAACGGGAGCACGCCAGCGCTAGAACCCGGGCGCCGCAGGCCCCGAGCGCGGCGACCGCGCAGGAGGCCTCCGCGCCTCCATCCCACCGGGCTGCGCACGACGCGGGCTCAGAGGGGGTGCGAGACCCCGAGAAGCGGGGCGCGTCCCGGCGCCTCCCTGGACCTCAGACTTTCGGCAAACATGCTGGAGAGGACAGACAGGTCTCCCCGAGCTCTTAAAAAAAAAAAAAA